ATCCCAGCGTCTCGGGCTCGCTGGAACCCAGGACGCGGAGGTTGTAGTGAGTGGAGATCCTGCCACTGCGCTCCAGCCCGAGTGACAGAGCGAGACTGCGTCTCAAAAATAATGATAATGATAACAATAACTTTCAGAGCCGGGGCTTAAAACTCCAATCCCTAGTCTATTCATCAATCACTTAGATCAGGCTGTGTCTTAACCTTCCCATTGGTAAGTGCCTTTTGAGCACAGAGTACGCAATTTTTAAAAACCTCATCCAAGAAATCCTTTTCTCTTAAAAGACAAATCCGGGACACAGTCAACTGGATTTTCAGTGAGCAAATGTTGGTTTACTACATCAGTATTTTCCGGGATGCTTTTTGGCCAGATGGGAAGTTGGCACCACCGACCACAATCAGAAGCGAAGAGCGAAGTCAGGGAACGAAACAGAGAGCACGGCAAAAGCTGCTTGAAAACATTCCAGGTGAGGCCTGGGCTGTTACCCTGAAAAGCATAGAGATCATGAGGGAATGTTAACCCCACTGGGGTGTTTTTCATTTATGTCTTGCCGGAAACATTCTTTGCAATGAAAAAAAAGGATCATACTCTTTTCAGCCATGTTTTGTCACTTGCTAAGAAGCTATACTGAGAATCTTAAGAACTTGAAAAATGTTTTAGAATAGATAATAAATTTTGTATTTTAGAAATCCAGCTAAAGTATAGTGTTTTGAGAGCTTAATTTTTAGCAAAATACTAACACTTTAATTATTAAAATTAGTAGTTGCAAAATATTAAAATTGTAATTTGTATAAATGCCTTATATTGAAAATTCTCTCCTGAAGCATTTGAGAGAACTGAACATTCGTGTTTCTCTTGCCTCCATGTCTTTATTGATTGTATGTGTACAGTGTTATATTCCTTTCACTACAAAGCCATGCACTGAGCACTTTATCAATAGCAGCACAGAATATAAACTTAATTTTTCAGATATGCTTCAGAGCCTTGTTGGACAGCAAAATGCCCGCCATGGTATTATAAAAATATTCAATGCATTGCAGGAAACAAGAGCCAATAAGCACCTGTTATATGTGAGTAAATTAAAGCTCAGGGGGGTTTCTGCATCATTTTGTCTGCTTCTTCATTTGGTCAGGAAAAACATAGACGGCAGTGGCTGCAGCACTCTGATTCTCACATGCTAGTCATCTCCCTTGACTTTTTTTTTTAGACAGAGTTTTGCTCTTGTCCCCCAGGCTGAAATGCAAGGGCATGATCTCAGCTCACTGCAACCTCTGCCTTCTGGGTTCCAGTGATTCTCCTGCCTCAGCCTCCTGAGTAGCTGGGATCACAGGCACCTGCCACCATGCCCCGCTAATTTGTATATTTTTAGTAGATTTGGGGTTTCACCATCTTGGCCAGGATGCTCTCTAACTCCTGACCTCAGGTGATCCACCCACCTGGGCCTCCTAAAGTGCTGGGATTACAGACGTGAGCCACCTCGCCCATTTTCCCTTGACTTTTGATACAGCACTGCTGCGTAACTGCTTGGTTTTCTTATTTCAGCAAAGCCAACTGTCCCAGTCATCTCTTTGATTATAGTTAACAATATTAAGTACCGTTTGAGAGTTATTTGTTTACTGAGATCATTTCAGACCTAAAATTAGACTTTTCTCTTAGATGCAGATCTTTATTTTGAATAAACCCTTGGAGAAAAAAAACACATTTTTCGACTTCTTTTCCTTCTTTCTTGGTTCAGGTGCTGATGGAACTGCTGCTAATTGAACTGTGTCCTGAGCTGAGAACTCATTTAGATCAACTTAAAGCTGGTCAAGTTTGAGACTGCACAAATAAACCACCAGAAAAATGTCTGTGTAATAATAGACATGAAACATTTTCCTCTTTTCCACAGAGGGCCTGAATGAGAACCATACTGATTTTTATTTTGGTTACCTCCCTCTAGTTTTATGTGAAATAAGCAGAATTGGGGAGGACGGGACTTATGCTGTGGTAAGCAACAGAAAAAAACTTCTATTGATTTTTATTTAATATAAACACTTTAAAGAACAACATACTGATTGAAATACAAATGTTAATATGTGAGAACTTAGGAAGTATTTTAAATATTTATGAGAAGATGTTGTTTTAAAATGAACTATGAATATTGTACAGTTAATTTCCTCACTGAGGATTGTGAACATTCTTATATTATTTCATGTGTATTGAAGAACATTGTTGTGCAATGCTTTGTGTAAAGTTATTGTGAAGATTTTATTGTCTTTATTTTTACCAAAGATTTCCCATAGTTTGAGCATTCAAAGCAATAAAATATAAAAATGAATCACAGCACTCTATGATATTTAAGATGCTTATATCTCAAAAAAACACATTGAAACTCTACAGGCAGTTCAAATATTTATCGAATGCCTTTTTATAGAAAACGCTATGCACTTAACTACTTCTGCAGGGACGTTTTTAAAGTTTGCTGCCTTTCTCCAGGCAAAAAGTAAATATGTGAAATACATGATTCTTAGTGAGCAGAAAGAGCCAATCAGTGCTTGAAGAGAGGCATTAGGGAGGAGCGATGGAAGCTGACCCTGGGAGTATGGGCAGGACTAAGACGGGGGCGGGGGTGGAAAGAGGGGGGCAGCCAGTTCAGGGACTTGGTTGTATCATCAAGCCTTTTAGACCACAGGGGCATTTGGGGAGATCCAGAGTAGAGATTTTTTGTTGTTATTCATACCGGGGCCATGGACAAGTACTTAACTTTCCTGGTTTCATCATCTATTATGCAATGATAATAGCTTCCCCTCTCTAATCCCCAAGAATATTGAAAACAAAACAAGTAAACAATTAAAAGGTAAAAATTCAGTTTGAATCACTGAAAGATACCATATACATATGTATATAACACATGCCGGATTATATACGTGTAATATATGTATCATACCTGCCAACTTCTTGATAAGAAGCCAAGTTCTGGGCCGGGCGCGGTGGCTCAAGCCTGTAATCCCAGCACTTTGGGAGGCCGAGGTGGGTGGATCACGAGGTCAAGAGATCGAGACCATCCTGGTCAACATGGTGAAACCCCGTCTCTACTAAAAATACAAAACATTAGCTGGGCATGGTGGCGCGTGCCTGTAATCCCAGCTACTCAGGAGGCTGAGGCAGGAGAATTGCCTGAACCCAGGAGGCGGAGGTTGCGGTGAGCCGAGATCGCGCCATTGCACTCCAGCCTGGGTAACAAGAGCGAAACTCCGTCTCAAAAAAAAAAAAAAGAAGCCAAGTTCTGAAAGGTAGATGATTAAAAATTGGTAAGCCAAAATGTTATCCTTAAGATTTTTTTAGTTATAGCTTTTTTACACTTTTTTCAAACTATGATATTTGACACTTAAAAGAAATACCCAAAGTTGGCTATTGATGAAAATTATCCTTCAAAAGACCATGGAAAAGACCAGATAAAATACATTCAAGGAAGAGAAGAATGTGAAGTTGTCAAGTCCAAAGAACTTACCGTAATACAATTATTAGAAATGTCCATTTTCGGCATAATTCTATGCTGTCATTTAAACTGTAGCTGTTAGTATTGCAAATGAGAAACATCACTATTATTTTGTCTCCTCTGTATTAATGATAAATTGTTGTTTTCCATGAGATACCAGCTAGAAGGAATCTTAGAGAAGGTGTGGGTGTGGGTGTGTGAGGGAGAAAGACGAGAGAGTCATGTTACAGATTCACCACACTCACAGGTTAAGGGATTTACTACTGTCGTCAGCAGTGGTAAACTGCAGGGGCTCACTTGTGCCAGAACATCAGCTTCATGGTAACTACAGTAAACTGAAATTTTAAATTCCGCATTGGATTTATGGAAAACATTTAAGCACAGCATGTTACCATATATGGCATATGTCCAAGTTTATGATTTCTGAAACCCATCTTTAAAAAGTGCTCTTTACCTAGGGCCAATCTTTTATTACGTTCCTATTTTAAGATATTTTTTTTTCTTTTTTTTTTTTTTTTTGAGACAGAGTTCGCTCGTCACCCAGGCTGGAGTGCAATGTCACGGTCTTGACTCACTGCAACCTCCGCCTCAGGGGTTCAAGCAATTCTCCTGCCTCAGCCTCCCAAGTAGCTGGGATTATAGGTGTCTGCCACCACACCCAGCTAATCTTTGTATTTTTAGTAGAGACAGGGTTTCACCATGTTGGCCAGGCTGGTCTTGAACTCCTGACCTCAGATGATCTGCCCACCTCTGCCTCCCAAAGGCTGAGATTACAGGAGTGAGCCACTGTACCTGGCTAAGATTCTTAAAGGTTCTTAAAGAATCTTTAGGAACTGGATTAAGTGTGGAAAAGAATACTAGTTGGGAAATTGGATCTTCAAGTCGTTGAAGGAAACTTACATGGATGGTATTAAGAAAGAGATTTGAGACAGAAATACATTACCTTTTGAGGGTATCTCAAACCTGAATCTGTTGAAATTTCTTCCCTTAATATAAAGACAAAATGAAGTTCAAGCAATATAGACAAGCCAGAACATAAAGCTGGAGCAAATAGTGTTCTGCCATTCAGCAGTTCTTAGTGACTATCGCCTCCATGTTCATTGCCTTTTCCCGTTACTAAAAAAAATCTTGTTTAAATCCACTGTCAGGATGGTTGTGATTTATAAAATAAAGTCACGTCGTTAGTGTTTATAAAATAGGGATAGTTAAAATATCTTTGCGACCTATTTTCAGTATGTGTCTTTGTTTCACAAATGGATAGCTTTGTATAATCTTAGGCGTATGAATCTTACTGTTTTTAGCGTCACCTTTTGCCTTCATAGATGTAATCTATGTAAGGAAAGCCTTTTGCTAGTTTAACAATATTTAGTTGTAGTTCTTCTTGATGATTTCATTGAGGTTTTTTCCACAGTGTTTTAAAAATGTAGAAAATGAGCTGAAGCAAAAAGAAATAACTTGCTTTATCTTAACAATATTTTCATATAGCAGTTGGTTTTTTGTTTCTTACACATTCTGCATATGTATGTAGCAGTTGTTTCACTCATTCAATTCAGATCTTTGAGAGAAGATTTGGAGGGGCAAGAGTCTAAAGCAGTGTCTTATAACCCACTTTTTTGAAGTTTATATGGAATAAATTAGCCAATGATTTATGGACCTTTTTAAGAATAGAGGATGTCTCAAAAGACTTAGTGCAGTTTTAGCTTTAGTAACTTCAGAAGTAGAAATGCTACACACACTTATTTAAGTTTCTTTACTTTTACCCTTATTTAGTTTTGTGAATTTACATTTAAAAATTTTTAATGACTAAAACAAAATTCAAATGGTATTATTCAAAATTCACAAAACTAAATAAGTGACAAATTTAAAGAGTTAAACTTTCAAATGATGTTTTTAAATAAGTTTGTATCATTTCTACTTCTGAACTTATTAAACTAAAGCTATACTAAGTCTTTTTGGAGACTCGGTATTTAAGAAAGGAAAAAGATAGTTGCTTTATAGAATGGTTTTCATAGTTGATATTGTCTAGGCCAGTCTGTAGGCTAAGAGGTGGACTTCTGAGGATTCTTCCAGCAATTTGACCCTGTATCTAGGGAAGTTGCAAAACTTAACAGTGTACAAATTCAAGAACGAAGTAACATGTCACCTGTAAAATACCCAGGATAGTGTAATTTGCAATGTGCAAAATAAGCAAACATAGCTACTGTAAAAATACACACATTGTGAGGTGTTAGCATGGATGATCTTTGTTGAAATACATTGTGGTCTAGATTCTTTGACGAATAAGTAAAGAGTGAAGTTCATCCGCCAATGCAGGATTCAGACGGCAAGCCTTGAAATCAAAAAGAATCAGATATTTAGATACATTATAATTGTTTGAGTCCTCCTTCTTCTTTTTTTTAAATTCATTTCAGAATAGTAGGCCAGGCACAGTGTCTCACGCCTGTAATCCCAGCACTTTAGGAGGCTGAGGCAGGCAGATCAGGAGATTGAGACCATCCTGGCCAACATGGTGAAAAACACACCTAAAATACAGGTCTCTACTAAAAATACAAAAATTAGCTGGGCATGGTGGTGCATAATCCTAGATACTGGGGAGGCTAAGGCAGAAGAATAGCTTGAACCAGGGAGTCGGAGATTGCGGTGAGCCGAGATCATGCCCCTGCACTCCAGCCTGGTGACAGAGAGAGACTCTTGTCTCAAAAAAAAGAGGAGTGAAGTACAGTGAATTTCAAGGAAATTTGTTAAGATACTTTCTATTCTGATGTACTACTTTAACCGAAGCAGAATGGATCCGTATTCAAAATAACCATGTTTTGATCATTTGAAAGAGATAACATTTTATCAGTGCCAAGAATAAAGGGAACTTAGGCACCAGTGATAGCATTTTATTTTATGAATTATTAAAGTAAAATGGAAAGCATTAACATTTGGCCTCAGAGTTGATCTCATTTATGTGAATAACAGCATCTGTAATAATCTTATTTTAAAATATATACCTAAAATAGTTTTATCGTATCTCAATAGTGACAAGGTGTATAATTTCTAGAATGTCAAGAATTTGGGAGAGAGATCTCTCATCCAAACCCTACTCTGTGCATAAAGTGTCCCTTCAGTATCCGTGACAATTGGTCACTGGGTATTTGCTTGGTTGCTTCCAGTAACAGGAGGTTATCACCTTTAGAGAAACTTGTGTTTTTGTTTCCTCAACTGTTGTTTTACAGGACTCTTCTTATTTTAAGCTGATGTTTCTCTCCATGTACCTAGAATCATTGAAAGGTCCTAACAGAATGCATAATGATGGTTTCACAGAAACCTAAGACTCCAGGAAGCTGGAATCATCCCACCTGACAGTGGCAGAGCTGAGAGCAGGCCTGGGCGTGTCGCCTCCAGGTCCCAGTTACCATCTTACTGCCTCACCTGCTGCTGTAACACACTGCCTGCCATGGGCTCTGATTCTGCTCACTCCCCACCCGTTCCCTTCCTATGGGACACTGCCGGTCTGGTGCAGGCCACGGTCAGGACCCCTCCTGTCCTTTGGCTCTGAGGGAGATAGTCTCCCTCAGATGACATTCCAGAGCCTTCACTAGTTTACTGCCTCAAAATGATCTCCATTTTATCAGTGTCCTCATAATGTACAATGGCCCAAACTGAGTTGAGTATTCTAGATGTGGTCTTTTTAATGCAGAGTAATGGGGCTGTTTTCTCCCGTCATATGGAAAGTCGTTCTCAGATTGCAATCTGTTTGCTTTTTTTTTTTCTTTTTTGAGATGGAGTCTGGCTCTGTCACTCAGGTTGGAGTGCAGTGGCACAAGCCCAGCTCACTGCAACCTCCTCCTTGCAGGTTCAGCAATTCTCTTGCCTCAGCCTCCCAAGTAGCTGGGACTGCAGGCATGTGCCACCACCATGGGCTAATTTTTGTATTTATAGTAGAGACGGGGTTTTGCCATGTTGGCCAGGTTGGTCTCAAACTTCTGGCCTCAGGTGGTCCTCCCACCTCAGCCTCCCAAAGTGCTGGGATTACAGGTGTGAGCCACCGCGCCCAGCCTTGTTCTACTGTTTTATTCAGGATGAATATATACTACATTTCAGAATATGTTTGATAGAGTTTTCTTTCTTTTTTTTTTTTTTTTTTTTTTTTTTTTAGAGAATTCCTAAGTCTCATTGACTAGAATTTTCTAAGGATATTAAGCATAGCATAGAACCTGAAATTGGCTTTGTTTGGAAATTGGTGTAATACAGAGAGCTTTTTTTTTTTTTTTTTTTGAGATGGAGTACCAGGCTGGAGTGCATTGGCATGATCTCAGCTCACTGCAACCTCCACCTCCCAGGTTCAAGCAGTTCTGCCTCAGCTTCCAGAGTTGCAGGGATTACAGGCATGCACTACCACACCTGGCTAATTTTTGTATTTTTGGTGAAACCCCATCTCTACTATATTGGCCAGGCTGGTTTCAAACTCCTGACCTCAAGTGATCAGCCCGCCTCAGCCTCCCAAAGTGCTGGGATTACAAGCATGAGCCACTGTGCCCTGCCGGCACAGAGAGCATTTAAATGAAAAAAGTTAGACAACTATTATACTAAGAATGGTGTAGCGGTAAGTACCTCAAAGGCAGTTGCATTTGGCTGTGTGCTGTGTTTATGTGTTAATATGACTTTGATGCTCTGGAAGTTTTAATTTTAAGCAAAGTAATTTAGGGTTCCCAAACTTACCTAACATTGGAATCCCATGGGGAGCTTCAACAAATATGCTTCAGTCTCCTAGAGACCATGACTGAAATTTTCTGAAATAAGACCTGAACTTTGGAATTTGTAAAAGATCCTCAGGTGATTTTAACATGCAGAGAAGCTTGGGAACCACTGCTGTGATGTCAGAGTCAGCCACAGGACTCAAAAGACTGTTCCTTCCATCGTTCCCCCACGCAAGCTGAACAATCTGTGTACTACACCATTGCTTTACAAAGTCTGTTATGATGTAATTCTAGTTTAGACTCATGGATGTGATGGACCTAAGATGTGCACAGCTTTTTGGCTTTTTAAACTTAGAGTTAGTATTCATAATGCTCTCCCTTACCCCCTCCACTACCACACCCCCTGCTTTTTAGCAGTTATTTTAGACGTGAAATGCATTTGGGATCTAAATAAATTGGTCACATGGATTAAAATATGAAAAGCTTATTTTAACTGATTACCTCAAACTCAAGAATACCCCTCCTAAGTGTGGTAGATGTCATGCTCAAAAAAACTTTATACTTCATTGCATACTAGAATGAACACACAGGTTCACACTTTTTCTAGATGAAAGACATTAACTGTTCCGCTTTAAGGTCTTGGTGCTGGGCCTTAGGCTGCAGATCGTAGCAGAATGAAAGTAATTTGCATCAAAATAGGACTTTTAATCATTTGAGCTACATTATGCTAATAAGAATCTGACAGAATTGTCTGCAAACAATCTGCATGTCTGACAGCCTCTCTGTAGACAAAGGTTATCTGCCCAGTAATTGAGTGGCAAGAAACCACTAATCCATAAAATCATTCAAGTTGCAGCTAAAAGCCTGGCAGTTTCTCTTTGGGTCAATTTATATTTTGTTCCAAAGCTTACTTTAGAATAATAGTGTTTAGCTGTTGCTTCGTCCCTGGTGATGCCCAAGCCAAGCTGAAGACACCTTGCGTGGTAGAAGGATGCCATCGCCATGCCTCTGCTGATGAACTCCGGGAGACATTCTGTGACCTGGGCGATCATGGGGATGTCGTGAACCTCATCATAATCAGCAATCCTGAGAGGATGTAGAGTTGTGAAATTGAAGAGGACATCAGTTATGGTTTAAGTGTAAAACGATGTGCCTAGAAACTCCTTGTGCCAAAGCGATTTCTCTCTGCTGCTTTGAGAACTGAGTTGTTTGCTGTGTGGTAAAGGGTTTGTGTAGCCAACTCCTACCAGGAGATGAACTTAACATAGTGGTGGCTTTACATCTCTATAATTATGCTCAGCAGGCTCAATAACCACTAAAAAACAAAGGTATGTTTCTTTTTTCTTGTAATATTACTATTGGAAGTTTAATGTCACTGTGGATTTAACCTAAATGGAGGAGAAAGCATTTTCTATTTCTTTGGATCACGTATGGAAACATAACCTTAAATTTGGACCAGCCACATAGGACCAGAAAATCTTTTAAGTAAAGTAGCACATCCTCTTTAAAAATGGGCAATGAAAAGAAGTCATCCTTTATATCCAGACATAAACATGGAGAATTGTGTGAAAATGCGATCCAGTCAACTCCATGTTAACCTCCATGTTAATCACAGTGTTATATAGATTAACATGTTAACCATGTTAACCACAGCGTTAACTCCGTGTTAACCACAATGAGTAGGAATGTGGAGAATAATGGAAAGCACCAAAGATTTTAAAGATTTAAAGTCTTAGTTCTAACTAAGATGAGCACTTGCTTTGAGACATTGGCAATCACTCCTGTAAGTGGTCTGCTGCCTGGAGCCCAAGACAGTGGGGAGGGGGCTAAAAGCATCTCCTCCTTTGCTTCATTCTCTCTTGTAGATCACTGCCCTGCACTAAGGCTTGGAGAGAGGAGAGACCCGGCACTGGGAAACATACCAGCACACGCAGAGTCTGAGGGCCACTGCAGAGAACTCCCAGGTCTGTTTCCCTGCCATGTCGCTTTTATACACTGTGGGTAAATATGTGTAGGAAAGTACATGGAGCCTTACGGACTCCAGAAAAAAGACTTGATTATATATTTTATTACATATAGTGTCAGTCTTTTAGCCACATTCTCATGTTACAGTCCCTACGAAGCTATGTTTTAGTTGTGCACTTACAGAGCTGCATGACCAAGGAGTGTAGGGAGAAATGAAGACATCATAAATATTTGTGATATGCCAAGCTGTGTTAAGCACATTATTATAATCCTGCTGTAAAAGCATTCTCTTCTTACAAAGCAAGCAATTGCTGCTTAAGAAACTTGCTTCAGCTCATAGCACTGAAATCCTGAAGGCTAATTGCATAGAATTGTGCTATCCAGTATGGTAACCACTAGCCATATGAATATTTACATTAATTAAAATGTTCAATGTTGAGTGCTAAGTTGCACTTGACACGTTTCAAGTGCTCAATAGCTGTCATTTCTAATATTGCAGAAAGCTCTGTGAAGGATTTGGCATAGAACATCTAGTAGGAGTTCTTGTCAATACTTTTCCTCCAGTTATTTACTCAGACATTGCTATGGTTTGAATAGGAAGTTCCCTCCAAAATTCCAGTGTTGCTAGTGTGATTGTATCAAGAGGTGGAGCCCTTAAGAGGGCATGAGGGCACCTCCCTCATGAATAGAAGAGGTTTCCTGTAGCTTTCCGCTGTCACGTGAGGACATAATGGTCTTCCCCTCTGGAGGCTGCCGCCCTCACCAGACAACCAAACCTACCTTGATCTTGAACTTCTTGGCCTCTGGAACTGTGAGAAATTTCTGTTCTTTAGAAATTACCTGTCGTGTAGTATTCTGTTACAGCAGCACAAAACAAAGATATTCACCTTTTGGAAAATGCAACACACTTTGTAAAAAATTTCATCTTGTAGTAATACTCCACGAGATTGCCTTGAGCATAGACATTTCCCCGTTCTGCTGCTTCTCTTAGGCAATGCAGGGCAGCTTCAGTATCCTGGCGGATGCCTTGTCCGTACAAGTACATGAGACCAAGCGCACCCTGGGACTCCAGATTCCCATTGCCACATGCCTCTGAATGCCAGTAAAATGCCTGAGAAAAGCACAGTTTCATCATTTTATTTATGATCCACTCGATGAAATTACAAGGGAATACTAGACAGAAAAGAAATCTGTGGTTACAAGATAGCACTATTAATCATCTCTAGGAAATAGCTGTAGGCCTTCGGACACATCTCACGCTAGCACACATGCCTAAAACAGTGTGGAGGTGAGTTCCTCTGCTGTCTGTCCACAGTGCGGGTGAGGTCACAGTCCAGACAGCTTACGGCAGAGGAGGACCAGCTGTCCTGGCTTTCAGGATCTGGGGATCTTGCAGAGCAAGGATCAGGAAGGTACCAAATAGGAACAAATGGTGTCTGAAAGGCTTGAGGCACAGCAGAGGCAGGAGAACCACCGATGCTATGGGGGAGTTCGAGCTCCCAGTGCATTCTAGAGATGGCAGCTGCTGTGATCGGGGCAGCTAAGGATAAACGCTATATGTAGTCTCAAGCACATTTGCTTCAGAGTCCGCTGCAGTGAATTTGAATTAGTTTAAAAAATTGCAGGTGGCTGCTCATGTATCCGAAGATGGCCTTAGTTGTTACGTGCCTCTTGCAAATTTGCCATTAACGTTAACTCTCCCCGATGGTTTTAAATATAAAACCCACATACTTCTTCCCCACCATTTCCTTCTCCCTATAGGATTTTTTGGAAACTGTTTCGATCGTTGATGAAAGATTATATTTCTGTGAAAATCTTAGATGGATTTAATTTGTAACTAATTCTTAGTATATTTTACTTACTAGTATCATTTATTTCTCAAATCAAAGGTAATATTAATCTATTCATACTTAAAAAGATTTCGGCCTTAATTTCAGAACTGTTTCTCTTTTTTTAGCTTTGATAGTATAGGATACAAAATACTCTCAGATTCATGGTTTCCTTTGGTAGAGGTAGGGAAGGTGACATTTATAATTAAAAGGCTTTGAGATCCCCAAATGTACACTTTCTCTACATTTTAAGGAAATAGAAGACATATTTAAAACTACATACTTGTTCCCCACCAATTTCTCAAAAAAGAAGTAGTGAAACAAACAGTAATCTGAATATAACGCTAGCATTAAAAAGAAAGGCGGGAATGTCACCTTTTCTAACTCTCTGGGCTCCCTGGTGGCGTAATACAGCCCGAGGATGCCTTGAGCCTTCACACTGGCTTTGGGGTTCCCATTGTCTGCTGCAATAAGCCACAGTCTACAAGAGAAAGTGAGGCATGTTATTCTTGGTTTCAATATTTCATTCAATCCTAATCTTGTTTTCAGGTAGGATTACCTTTCAGCTTCCTCATTTGACCGTTTAACACCTTTTCCTTCATAATAAGCTCTTCCGAGGTTGTAAGCGGCTGCAAATTTTAAGTGCCTTGCTTTGGGACATGGAGAATCAATAATTTTCTTCATATAGTCCACCCCTTTCTCCTTCGACAAAAGAAAGAACAAAAAAACCCCTCATTTTTAGTTTTGCCCAAACTGAATTTCTTTCTCCCAATAAGGCTGTGAAGTGTCCGCCCTCTGATATGATGTTTAATAGTATGAATCTGCCCAGTCCGATTGTCCTGGATTCTGCAGTGATAAGTGATAAGGACGAAAAGAATTTCTAAAAGCATATCTCTTATTCAGGCACTCCCAGGAGCTCTGGGATATAAGGCATTTCCTTCCTTTTACAGCTGCCTGAGTTGATTTAAGTCTCAATATGGGCTTCCTTTTTTCTCTTCTCCCTCCCGTCTGAGAATCCTTATCCTGAATCAGCATAGTTGTTAGAACTGACTCAAGTGCAAGAATGGTCAGGAATCTCTTTCACATTTCTAATTCTTACAATACACTTGGGAGCCCCTAACGAATACTGTCTTCCATTCAAGCACACTTTTTACTGTGTGCTCATAGTTTGCATCTAATATACAGATCTTAGTCACTAATATGACAGTAGTCACAGGGAAAGCACAGATGACATTCTAACCACTATCAAGACCACATCAGCACCCTCCACCCCCAAATACATCAGACACAAACCTTTAAACATCACCCAGAAGAAGAAAATAACGTTGGACGAGCAAATAAATTTTGGTTTTTGTTTGTTTGAGATGGAGTCTTGCTCTGTCACTCAGGCTGGAGCGCAGTGGAGTGATCTTGGCTCACTGCAGCCTCCCACTGCTGCCTCCCAAGTAGCTGGGATTGCAAGCATGTGCCACCAATGCTCGGCTAATTTTTTTATTTTTAGTAGAGACAGGGTTTCACCATGTTGGCCAGGCTGGTCTCGAACTCCTGACCTCAAGTCATCTGTCTGTCTCAGCCTCCCAAAGTGCTGGGATTACAGGCGTGAGCCACCATGGCTGACCTCAAATACATTTTGATACACTCATTCTAGCCTTTCCCTCACTGCTTTCTCAAAGTGCTATTGCTGGCCGAATACCACAGTAATAGATGAGAAAGTAAAGGAGTTTTAGTGATGCCTAAACTATAGGGACTTATTTTTGTGAATATGTGAAGTAGATATCTACCATTTTCCCCCCACCTGAACTGGACAGTAAGATAATTTTAGGTAACAGTTATCAAGTGAGTGGTTAATACATCTTCCCACGGGTTACGATTCAATCTGGACAAAATATTTAAAACATTGTCTATAGGTACCAGAAAGTACCAAGCAAGCAGGCCAAAGAAGAGATTACTCTCGAAAACTGCAGTTGTGAGGGATCCATAGAGTTCAGTGAGTCCGAGGCAGGACAAACAAAATCTTCTCCCAGGTACATGTCATGCTCAAACTGCTAAAAGCCAAACATAAAGAAAAGCTGGAAAGCAGTTAGAGGAAAATGACACATTACATTCAATAAAACTAGGGGCTGGGCTGGACGCAGTGGCTCACTTTGGGAGGCTGAGGTGGGTGGATCACCTGAGGTCAGGAGTTTGAGACCAGCCTGGCCAACATGCTGAAACCCTGTCTCTACTAAAAATGCGAAAATTAGCCAGGCGCAGTGGTATGTGCCTGTAGTCCCAGCTACTGCAGAGGCTGAGGTGCAAGAATCACTTGAATCTGGGAGGTAGAGGTTGCAGTGAGCCGAGATTGCGCCATTGCACTCTAGCCTGAGCAAAAAGAGGAAAACTCCATCTAAAAAAAAACAAACTACGGACCAGCTTCATGAGAAGTGAAGACCAGATGATTTTAGAATGACATATTTAAAGTGTGGACAGAAAGAATTGTCATCCAGAAAAATAATTCATAAAAAAATGAAGGGAAATTAAAGGCATTCTTAAATGTTTAACAAAATCAGAGAAAACTCATTAACTCCAGACCCATGCTACAAGAAATGCCCCTTAATGAAAGTCATTCAGGGCCAGGCACGGTGGCTCACGCTTGTAATCCCAGCACTTTGGGAGGCCAAGGCAAGTGGATCACCTGAGGTCAGGAGTTTGAGACCAGCCTGGACAACATGGTGAAACCATGTCTCTACTCAAAATACAAAAATTATCTGGGCATGGTGGTAGCACCTGTAATCCCAGCTACTTGGGAGGCTGAGTGAGGCAGGAGAATTGCTTAAACTCGTGAGGCAGAGGTTGCAGTGAGCCAAGATTGTGCCAATGCACTTCAGTCCGGGTAACAGAGCGAGATTCTGTCTCAAAAAAAAAAAAAGAGTCATTGAGGTTGAAAGAAAGTAGGAAATGGTGCCAGATGGCAGCTCAGGCTGATAGCAAGGAATGATGAGCACCTGAAAGATGGAGCAGACATCAAAGGACACACACGAGCACTCATCTACGTGTGTACATATTTTCTCTCTCTTTTTCCCAAAGCTGTGTGACTAAAGCAAAAACTAGAACTGTAATTTGTATTCTGGGGTTGATGACCCATATAAATGTAACGTGTATACCAGAACACACAGCAGCAAGGATTGGGAGTGGGTAAATGAAAACACTTCTTCAACGTTCCTACGATTCATCTGAAGTAACTCGCTATTAACTCTATGTAAATTGTGACATTTGAAAGTGCATATTACAATCTCTTAAAAAAAAAAAACAGCTAAAAAATTAAGTGGAATGTTAAATGGTAATCAAATTATCCCATCACCATTTCTCTTAAGTCTGAAATGACATTTTTTTTTTTAAATTTTGAGACAGTCTCACTTTGTCCCCCAGGCTGGAGTGCAGTGGTGCGAACCCAGCTCACTGCAACCTCTGCCTCCCGGTTTCAGGTGATTCTCCTGCTTCAGCCTTCCAGGTAGCTGGGATTACAGGTGTCTGCCACCATGCCTGGCTACTTTTTGTATTTTTAGTAGAGAAGGGGTTGTACCATGTTGGCCAGGCTGGTCTCGAACTCCTGACCTCAGGTGATCCACCTGCGTTGGCCTCTCAAAGTGCTGCCGTGAGCCACCACACCTGAACAGAAATAGCAATTTTATGATATGCTAAATACCCACGTATATATGTGGGTAATACCCAGTTATGTGAATCTGGAAGGGTTTTGGAGAGAAACTGACAGTCGGGTTGGAGTTGGGGATGGAGAAAGGGAAGAGAGGCAAAAAGAAATTGATTTTTTAAAAATGTTTTTTATATAAATGTAAAAATACCAATATTCTTTAAGATGCTAAAAATCTAGATGTCATTCAAATATAAGGGTAGATATGTATTAAAATATAATTTTAATTGTGTCCAATAATCCACTGACAGTGCAACCTTAACCACTGTGACCAAGACACGAACTTACAGCGTCTAGAGTGGTCCCCAGCGCATCATAATACATCACTCCTAGCTGGTAAGTTGCTTGATGGTCTTTCTCCTTGATTTCTTCAAACTGTTCTAATGCTTCTTCATACCATCCCTAGAAGCACCCAGAAGATATTTAATTATGATCTTAAAGTAATCCCGGGCCCGGCACATGGGCTCATGCCTGTAATCCCAGCACTTTGGGTGGAGGTCAGGAAATCGAGACCATCCTGGGTAATATGGTGAAACCCTGTCTCTACTAAAAATACAAAAAGTTAGCCAGATGTGGTCGCCTGTAATCCCAGCTACTCAGGAGGCCGAGGCAGGAGAATCGCTTGAACCCAGGAGGCAGAGGTTGCAGTGAGCCAAGATTGCGCCACTGCACTCCAGCCTGGCGACAGTGCGAGACTCTCTTTCAAAAAAAGAAAAAAAAAAAAGTAGGCGCGGTGGCTCACGCCTGTAATCCCAGCACTTTGGGAGGCCAAGGCGGGTGGATCACGAGGTCAAGAGATCGAGACCATCCTGGTCAACATGGTGAAACCCCGTCTCTACTAAAACTACAAAAAAATTAGCTGGGCATGGTGGCGCGTGCCTGTAATCCCAGCTACTCAGGAGGCTGAGGCAGGAGAACTGCCTGAACCCAGGAGGCGGAGGTTGCGGTGAGCCGAGATCGCGCCATTGCACTCCAGCCTGGGTAACAAGAGTGAAACTCTGTCTCAAAAAAAAAAAGAAAAAAGAAAAAAGAAAAAAATAATAATCTCAAACAGAGGCACGAAGGGTTCAAGTGTTTGTGCCCAAGTTAAACACACAGTTAACAAGCAATGCAGCCATATCTGAACCCATGCCCCACGCTGAGGAAGCACGCTCTCCGCCATGGTGCTCTGCCATTGTCAGAGTGACAGGCACACAGTGGGCCCTCAGCAAACATCTGTTGCCAGGATAGATGAAGGTGCCGTCGAAAAGTGGGATATAGGTGAACAGCTGCCCAAATACTCAGTGAATGAAGGACAGTCGGTCCCTCTTCCAGTCTTCCCGTGGAAGTCAATGAAAAAGGGAAACGACATTACTGGAGTTGGGGTGACAGCTCACTCTACTTGCCAGGCTACCCCAACATGATGTGGAGAAAGAGGGCGATTTCCTCCTATGCTATCCGGGGACACCTAAAACTGCCTCTATGTACTAGACAAAAACCAGGGCTCCAATGAGTATTAATACGAAGCTATCTGATTATATATATATATATATATATATATAAATATATTTTTTATTATTATTATTTTTTTTTTTTTGAGAGGAAGTCTTGCTCTGTCACCCAGGCTGGAGTACAGTGGCACCATCTCGGCTCACTGCAACCTACACCTCCCGGGTTCAAGCACTTCTCTGCCTCAGCCTCCCAAGTAGCTGGGGTTACAGGCGTACACCACCACGCCTGGCGATTTTTTTTTTTTTTTTTTTGTATTTTTAGTAGAGACAGGGTTTCACCATGTTGATCAGGCTGGTCTCCAACTGCTGACCTCAGATGATCCACCCACCTCAGCCTCCCGAAGTGCTGGGATTACAGGTGTGAGCCACCACACCTGGCCTGATAATATAATTTGTATTATTAAATATTTTGAGCAAAAACATAAAAATTTGATTTTTAATCTAAATCTAAAATTGATTTTATACTATAGTGACTCCCATAAATGGCATTCATGACATGGATTTTATGAAGAAAGGTTAGCTAGCTCCTTAGGCTGGCAACAGTGTATCCTACTTAAAGCCACAGATAGTCTGTGTCATTTGACAGAATTTTCCTAGTAAGACACAGTCAGAAACTCTACATGAAGTTTTCCGCTGAGGATCTAACAACATAATTAGAGGAAATGAAAATGAACAAGCAAAAAAATAATACCTCTTCAAAGTAGAGTTGACCTCGTAGGAAATATGCCAGATGGTCCCCATTTCGTATTCTTTCCTTCAAGAGCTGCAATGCCTTATCCACCAAACTAGCATGGGTGTAATGATCTGATTTTAACAAGGGAAGGAATTTCATTAACCACACAATATAAATTTTCTCTCTTGAAGTAATAAATCATATAAAATCCATCTAACACGGTGGACATTCTTTCTTTCTAGTGCTCATTCCTACAACTGGTCTCCTTAGCTCAAGGACTCCTTCCTGAAAAAGGGCGTGATCACAGAACCTAATGCTGTGACTTGTATAATAAAGCAATATTGGCCGGGTGCGGTGGCTCACGCCTGCAATCCCAGCACTTTGGGAGGCCGAGGCGGGCGGGTCACCTGAGGTCGGGAGTCTGACCAGCCTGACCAACATGGAGAAACCCCGTCTCTACTAAAAATACAAAATTAGCAGGGCATGGTGGTGCGTGCCTGTAGTCCCAGCTACTCGGGAGGCTGAGGCAGGAGAATCGCTTGAACCCGGGAGGCGGAGGTAATGGTGAGCCGAGATCGCGCCATTGCGCTCCAGCCTGGGTGACAAGAGTGAAAGTCCATCTCAAAAAACAAACAAAAAGATATACTTGTTGATTGGATTCACACTAGCCCTGCTCATGGCCAGGTAGGAGCCCTACCAGTGCAGGGCTAGGTGTGAGTCCATGCATTGGTTTGTCTTCAGTGGGCACAGCTGCCTGGAGGAGTGAGTTAAATTCTTGAGCCTTAATGAGAGCCCCTCTAACCAAATTAGCAACCCATCCCTAAGATAATGTTTTTAAGTTTATAGGGAAAATTAGGTATTTAAATAATAATTGCAAGTAAAGCATGGGATTGCTCTCTTTAACAGAAGTGACATCTGGCTTCTGTTTTCTAGAAGCATGTCAAAGTCCTGAGAGTAAAATCAAGGCCTGTCTGTGAGACCACACTGATGATTTGCTACCAGATAAAGGAGCAGTTTCACAGATTCTTGCAGGAAAACACAAAAGGACTGTAACGATGAACCACTTCCTTGAAATCAGTGAAACACATTATTTCCTGTCTCATTTGTTGTTGCATACAAAGTGAACTTTTGGTGAAAGTATTTTCCAAAGGAAGCTTAAATCTCAGGATTTGTACCAGTCTTTTCCTTTTTCCACTGGAAGAATTTTTGTTTTTTAACAGCATTCTGAGATAGAGAGGCATAAAAGGGGTTCTTGGGCAACTTTTCACTGGTCAACTTCATCCTTTTTCCACAACGTGTATTCTGTGAGCAAGAATAAAAAATAAGATGGTAAGAAATTCCTTCCTCCAGCAAAGTGCAAAGAGAGACTCTAGGCCCCCACCAGCTGCTCATCACGATCACCTAGATAGAACACCGGCCACCAAGTCTGGAGGATGTGACTATTCTTTCCTAGGACACCAAGACCTTCCCTAGCTGAGGTACAGCCATTCTCCGTGTCATTGTCCATGGCGTGCCATTAACAATGAGACCTGTCTGGCTATGGGTTTATTCATGAAGACAAGTCATGTCGCCCAGCACACGCGTTGCCACGTAGTGGGTGACACTGCCAGACTCTACTGGTGTAGAGTTCTTCTACACCAGTACTTTCTGTGCCCTTGTAACTGACAGTCATCGGACGAATCCATTTCACCTGAAAGCATGTGTCTCTTTTACCTGGGAACACACCATATTTTAGCTGTGTTCAGTTTTATCTTCCTGTCTGTATTGGATTGCCATGTTATAAGATGGATCACAGTTGAGTGGTAAATCAGTGTCTTCATATAAAATGTAGAGGTCACCTCATTTGGGGTGAAGGAGTCCAGGTTGGCCCAGGCTGAGGGCAGAGAGACAGCAAACTCAGTTGTTGCTATGCTTCTGTGTTTACTCCTCAGCATTCCACTGTTACGGCTTCTTTCACCAATCGGAAACAAGCTTCCAGCAAAGCTTCCTGATTGGAGGTCAAGAGAAGAACTCGAGAGACCTTTAGTGTGAGTGGAAAGCTGCATTTTTACATAATTACATGATGCTATATTAGAAAATAAATTGCTTGAGTGAGAATGAAATGCAGAAAAAAGAAATATTCAGTATATTAGGGGAAAAAAATCACTGAACTGTCTTTATCATTTTGGAGGAGTCATTTAATCTTTTTTTTTTTTTTTTTTTTGAGACAGAGTCCTGCTCTGTCACCAGGCTGAAGTGCAGTGGTGCCATCTCAGCTCACTGCAACCTCCGCCTCCTGGGTTCAAGCGATTCTTCCACCTCAGCCTCCCAAGTACCTTGGACCACAGGTGTGTGCCACCATGCCTGGCTAATTTTTTTGTATTTTTAGTAGAGACGGGGTTTCACCATGTTGGCCAGGATGGTCTTGATCTCTTGACCTCATGATCTGCCCGCCTCAGGCTCCCAAAGTGCTTGGATTACAGGCGTGAGCCACCACTCCTGGCCGCAGCATTATCATTCTTGTACATGATGATTGGATCTCTGGAATCCAAAGGAATCAGCTTAAAGACTGCATGATTTAATTAGCTCAGCAAAGTGGCAGGGTACAAAATAAGTGAACAAAGATGAGAAGCCTGTCTTTCATAGCCAGTGAGAAGCTACATTTGGCAAGGAATGTTCGTAGTAACACAAAAATATAAAATATGTGCGAGTAACCTCAGAGAAGTATCTATGACCTATATGTAGAAAACTATTAACATTTTAAAAATTAATTTTAAAAATCCAGGACTCAGTCAGAGACCCAGAAAGTGATGGGCAGAGAGGACAAGAGAAAAGGCTGGGCACCAGCCTAACTTGATGCTCTTGAGGGCACGGGGCAGGTGGATTCCAGCCATTTCTGTGCTTTGGAAAAGCTGCTGATGGTGTTTTTGTCTTCGCGTGAGCGCCATCCTCACTAGTCCTGGCCCACACCTTTGGATATAGGAGACACGTACACCCCAGCATGACCCCTGGACCTTGGAGACTGCACCCTCCAGCAGTGCCTGGGACCCTTGTACACAGAGGGGTCAGTAGAAACGTAGTTGCTCGGGACTTACTGAAAGGACTAGCTAGTGGTGACGAGCTCAGGCAGCAGCACTGCAAAGGCCACTGAGCTAAGGACAGAGTCAAGTGGATGCCCTGGAGACATGTATGTACATTATGTTTACTAACATATAAAAGGAAAGAAGGGAAGAAAAGACCCTACAGGTAAAACACATCAAAACCATTATGTTGGATGGGCGCGGTGGCTCATGCCTGTCTTTAATCCCAGCACTTTCAGAGGCCAAGGTGGGTGGATCACCTGAGGTCAGGAGCTCAAGACCAGCCTGGGCAACATGGTGAAATCCCATCTCCACTAAAAATACAAAAATTACCTGGGCTAGAGGTACGTGCCTGTAATCCCGGCTACTTGGGAGGCTGAGGTGTGGCCAGTGTCACGTCGGGGTCACCACCTGAGATGTAGATCACCACCTGCGGAGGTCTGTCCTGCAGACCTTGACTCAACAATAGATGAATAAAATGCACTCACGCACACCAGAATACAGTGAGTCTCAGTGGGCTAGGGATGGTCGTCAGCTGCTTTCAGAGGGTGACTGCAGCTAACTGACCACGCTTCCTTGTCCTCCTTGCATTTATTCAGTATAGATTTAACAGAGGTTCTAAGTCAACAGACTCGTGGATAGTTACCGTGATTAAAAGTGGTTTTACGAATGGTTCTGGAGGCCCGGAGTAAACACCTTCAACCAAGTAATTCCCCTTCAACCTCCCCCTGGGTGGGCCATCCAGCACAAAGTTTACATGAGCAAACAAATTAGAGCAGACACAAAGGAATATGGCATAAACAGACTTACCTGGGGAAGCGTTTATTGTCCCTGTCTTTTACCCTATGACTCAGAGTTCTGACGTAATGGACTGGCTGCCTTCAGGCCATTCCATTAAAACCTCTGGGACTTCCAAAAGGTTCTAGACTATAATCTTCTAACTTTGCCTAATATTTTGCCAGCCACCCTGAGTGAATCACTGAGGCACAAGATGGGAGGTGAAGATGGCAGTGATCTGAGATTGTGCCCAGCACTGCGGCCTGGGCAACAGAGTGAGACTCAGTCTCAAAAACAAACATTCAAACAGAAACCACCGTGTTGAACTGTGGAATTATGTGCAGCTATATAATGCTTTATTTGAAACCTCAGGAACACGTATGTTTTAGAATCCAGATGTGTTTGGATTTTGAAATGTCACACAATACCCAGATAACATCTAACGCATTACACCATCATACTGCAGAACCACCTGAGCATGGTCTAGGATTGCACCCTTTTGCCATAATTGTATTTCTGCAGTAAAATGTAATGTTGTTCACGTAAATGGAATAAACACTAAATATAGTCTCAGGTGTGTGCAGGAAAGATGAGCTTGCTGCCTTAAGAAGTATAAAAATACTTTGTTTCAGCCTTCCATGTATTTTTGAATTGCAGGGAAGAGACTGTGGAGCTGTACATTTCTCTTCTCTATTTCTCAAATTTTCTGTAGTAACATTGTGGTGAGGTTACAAATTTACTGACATTGCACACAGATGGACAGCCTTAAGCCTCCATGTTCCCCCCGAGGTCCTCACCCTACTGGATAACTGGTTCTTGCAGAAGTGGGCCGCCTCTTCACACCAGAGCTGGAGCAGCAGCCCCCAGCCCCGGGCCTTCTCAATGTCTGAATGTCTTGAAGGCTCTCTCCCGATTTGGGTTAGGAGGCAGGGGTAGATTGAAGGCCTCTGGATCTGATTCCTGCCGCTCTCTGTAACTCCTTTTCCCCACTGTTCTGTGGATGTGGAAAGGCGATTGCTGAGGATAGGCCTAGGGGAGGCCCCTGTGGTATGCAGACTGCCCATTAAGTTAGTTGAATTTAAAGTTACATTAGTATTTTCAGGCCTGTGGCGCAGCTATAAACCCAGATGATGGAGGAGTTCATGGCATCTAAGGCAGGGATTCGAACTCAGAAATTAGTCAAGTGGCTTCTCACATCCCAGATGGTAGGCGAGTCTAAGGTAAGAGCAGCGCAGTGCTCTTCTGGTCTGATGAGAACAGGTTAGGCTGGTTTCATGAGAGACAAGTCTGTCCTGTCTACTGTACCAGCAACATCTCATCCTTATTCCCAATATTAATTAAACCTTTGATATTGCCATGTCCAGGGGTCGTATTTCTGCCTATCTACCAACTCAAGGAGATCTTGGGCTCCCGGATTTCCCTTTCCTTTTACTAGCCCTATTATCTATTTATCAATCTCTCAATCATCTACCTACTTACCTACCTAACCTACCTGGCCTGCCTGCCTATGAAGCCTACCCGTCTATCTCGGACTTCCAGTAAACACAGGTTCAGTAAGAATGAACCTTAAGCTTTTGCTTCCTCTACCTCATAGTGTTTTCACAGCAGTTGTAAAAAATGTTTCAAATTAAAAATTAGACAGATAAATCATATTTCAATTATATATGTACATGCTTTTTCTGAAGGTATGCTATGTATTCATCTACTGTCTTTATAGTCTTTAAATGAAGAAAATAGGTTGAACAATAAACATTTCCTTATAATAACTCAAATTTGTCAAAATGTGTTAACATCCTACTCAAATTAATCGTTGTTCCTAGGAGGTGAAAAAGTATAAACTGCTGATCTAACAGAATAATAATTAAGCAAGTGAGTATCAGTGTAGTGTATGATGCTGATATAAGTTCTATTCCGAGTATATATCTAGTATTCTACATTTTCCAGGTACTTTAAATGATTTTCATTAAAAAAAAACAACTGAGTTTCAGGCCGGGCACAGTGGCTCACACCTGTAATGCCAGCACTTTGGGACGCCAGGGTGGGTGGATCACGAGGTCAGGAGTTCAAGACCAACCTGCCCAAGATGGTGAAACCCCGTCTCTACTAAAAATACAAAAATTAGCTGGGCATGTTGGCAGGCACCTGTAATCCCAGCTACTCGGGAGGCTGAGGCAGGGAACTGCTTGAACCCAGGAGGTGGAGGTTGCAGTGAGCCAAGATCGTGCCACTGCACTCCGGCCTAAGTGACAGAGCGAGACTCTGTCTCAAAATAAAAAAAAACTTGAGTTTCAAACTTTTGAGTGTCTCAAATCATCTGGTAAATCATTTTTAGTTATCCAATTTTATGCAAGTGCAATTGGTAATACAGATTTCTGATCTGACAGGCTTAGTATCTGTTCATCCATGGTCCTTATATTCTTTAAGTGAAAGAAACAGTCTGCATGGTAAGTACAGCAGTAGCCCTCTGGCCTAGCGTTCTTGGGAGTGGCAGGTGGTCCACTGAACAAGAGTGACAGTGGAGATTAATAAAAGAGTGTCCATAAATACCATTTATACTTTATACTTAACATGTGTAAAAAAATATAGTTATTTCCCAATCTTTTCATGTAGGGCCAGAAGTGATTTAAGTAGTGTTCAACTGTGAAAATTTAGTTTTCTTGCATAAACCATGGGCATACGAATTCCAGATTAGGTTTCTTTAAAATGGAGTATAAATTTTAAAATGCCCATAAACAGAGTACGGAGTTCTTCCTCCATCTTTTACAGCTGACTTGAAAACAATTTTTCGTAGTGATGACTTTGAAAGCATTAATTTTCTTACAATCTCTTATGTCTCTCTCATGTCTCATCAGTTATATAATATTTAATTGAGGCTGGGCGCGGTGACTCACACCTGTAATCCCAGCATTTTGAGAGGGCACAGAGGGTGGATCACTTGAGTTCAGGAGTTCAAGACCAATCTAATCAACATGGTGAAATCCTGTCTCTACTAAAAATACAAAAAATTAGCCAGGCATGGTGGCATATGCCTGTAGTCCCAGCTACTTGGGAGGCTGAGGCAGCAGAATTGCTTGAACCTAGGAGGCGGAGGTTACAGTGAGCTGAGATGGTGCCACTGCACTCCAGCCTGGATAAGAGAGAGAGACTTGGTCTCAAAAAAAAAAAAAAATGTAATTGAATTATATTTTATAATAATCCTTATAGGTGTGGAGAAACTGACTCTTGGTAGGTACACAGTTTAACTGGTGTGAGCCCAAGCGACTGACATCCTAGAGAATGCCTAAGGCCTTCC